AAAAAATATATAAAACACTTCAACTAAAAATACATCATTCAAAACTCATTTTGTGCAGATGGTTTTGAACTTCTATTAATGCTTTCAGATATACGCAAATTTGTACTTCTAGGAAAATTAATGCTTCGAGAAAGTGGCATCTTTTAATGCTTTTTAACCAAACAATATGCAATTCTACTACACGCAAAGAGATTAAGGACATATTCATCCTCTAATTCTTAACATTTTCCTTTTTAAAGAAGAGGCTGGGAGGGTAAAAAACAACTTATCATGAATCTTCCATGTAAATGTATAATGTTTTTGTATTGTTACTCCTATGGCATGAGCACGCAAAAAGGCCAATCATACCGCATATATTTTATATTAATATGCAAGGGTGACTAATAATCATGTTACTAAATCTCAAAAAAGAGAGAGAAGCTAGCTTTAGCCCTTTTGATAGTCAACAATATTCCAATCGTAATTGCTCTTGAGGTCAACAAAATGTGTGGGAAAAAAATGTGGAAAGTTCCTTCTCATGTCAACAAAATTAGAAAAAAAAAAAATCACGGACCCACCAAAGACCCTATGATTTTTACCTTTGCCCAATTACTCAAAATTGAAGTCGTCATCTCTGATGTGTTCCCATCCCTCAATCATCAATCATCATCATCATATGATGTCAAGTGTATATCTCCGTCTTGCAAATCTCCTATATATATAGAAGCTGTCTTGGCAACGATTTGGGCAGGACAGAGTGTAATTCAGCTGAGTGTAGAATAAAGAGTATAAATGAAAGAAACGGTTTGCTAGTTGGGGCTCTGTCGCTGGATAGATGGTACCTAGGGCTTTCCACTGTACTTAGCAGTAGGTACCATCTTCCGCGACAGAACTCCCCTCGAACCTCTACTAGCTAGGCTGCATATATCTAGTGAAGGAATTGCTCATTTTGCTTGTTTTACTTACACACTTCTCTTTTGTCTTCAATCTTTAATGATGCAGGGCACCTCTGTCATCGTTCAATATATAGTACTTACGAAGTTCCGAATTATTCTTGTGCAAGGCTGCTCTCATTCTTCTAATTTAGTTAATAATATAAGATTATACTTTTTTACAGGAGGTGAGTTGTGAATAAGTTTGAACTATTCTCTTTCTATTTTTAGTGTTCTTAATTATTGTATATAGAATGCCTCAACCCTCAACCCTCAAAGTGGAACAAAGTCCCTGCTGGTATACCGTTCTCACTCTCTTAATCTCTTTCATAATTTCCGTATTATATACTTAGTTAATTAGCAAGGTCCTTGGACTGTTCTTGATGATCTTATTCCAAAAAAAAAAAAAAAATCTGCTTTACTTAAGCTATTTCTAATCCACTTCTACTAGTTTTTTCAGATTTACAAATTTATATGGTGCCTGTTGAGATCAATAAGTTTGGTTGGAAAGGTGAATGTTTATTTGATTAATATTTTTAAGGTCATATATATTGATTTTTCGGACTCATCAAGATAGTTTTTTTTTATTATTAATTTCTTTTTCTTTTTTTTTTCCAATAAGCCAAATGACGAGACTATGAAACTTCAAAGGATGATGTGATTCTTAACAAGGTTTGATTGTTGTGGTTGATGGTGGAGAATAATAGAATGTCTATTGTTGTGGTTGATGGTGGAGAATAATAGAATGTCTATTATTGGCATAACTTTATCCGTATGAAAGAAAACCCTAGTGTTTTAGAAATAATAAGGTTGAATGAAAGCCCAACATTTAGTTGGAAAGATTTGAAGAGAGAATAACAAAAATAGCTGTTTTTTTATTAAAACAAAAAAACAAAAAAAAAAAGTCATGGGACATAGACTCTTGATAGGATTGAATTGTAAAAAAAATAAAAAATAAAAATTCTTAAAAACTAAGAGACCGATTAATAAAATAATGAACAAAGCCTTAACAAAAATTTGGCACCGTTGAGACATGATCAAGACAACAACAGAAAGATATGGAGCATTACAATACCAAGTAGGAAGTTGCAAGGAAGCAAAGATCATTACAGAGGTATATGAAAAAGCTGTAGAAGAATGTAGTCTCTTATGGGAATCATGGGGGATAAGAAGACCTATAAATATTAGCTAAAACAAGAGAAATATATATAAAATAATAAACAAATAAAATCAATTTTCAATTTGTAAATAGGTAATAGAGTACTCTCTCAAGTTTCAATACAAACGTGATCCATTAAAAGGCCTATAAATATCAACTACAATACGAGAAATATACACACAATAGTATAAAAGTAAACCCAATTTATAATTTATTAACAACTAATAGAGTATTCAATAAAGTTTCAATACACTTAAAATTTGTTAAGGTATAGTTTGTAAGTAGTAATCTATATGTTATAATCAAGTAGGTTATAATTCATAAGTTATAATCAAATAGAGTGATATATTTATAGGCTGATATATTGGTTGTTGTTCTCGTCTTTTATTCACAAATTCACAAGTTTGTGATTGTGATTTATGAGAGCTGAATCTTGGAAGAATTGATATATCTACAGTACTCATTTGTAAGCATTTTCATCATCAATTAATGTAAATTTCTACTTCAATTTGGTACATTGTTAATTTGCAATCTTGTTTTTTTAATACTTAAGTTGTTTAATCTTGTCATTTTAATTTAAAATTATTATTTTAATTGCAAATTAGAATAAGGGATTTGAATTTCACATTTAAGATAACCGTTATTGTGAATAACCACTATTACAAACTTGCAATCCAATTTTTCTAGGCATGTTGCATATTTCACAAGAGGTTTGCAAACTATTTTAAAATTTTTAATTTAGTTATTTTATTTAATAAAAATACCAAAAGATCCTTAGATCAAGTAGTAGCACATATACAATTATTAATTAAGTTTATATATATATATATGAAAGTTGCACTGGCTTATAAATTACTATCCAACTATTTTTTATTTTTATATATAAGGTTTTTGTTTCTTTTTTTTTTTTTTTAATTAAGACACACCTGGGATCTCAAGATTCCTCTTTTCGATTTGTCTTGAACAAAAGGCAGGCGGGTTTTAAGACTTTTTATGCAAAAAAATACGCGAAAGAAATATTCTACACAGTATTAAAGATGAAGCTTTTAAAACATGCTACCAACCAAGAGACAGGTCAAGCGGTTCATAATTATAAACAAAAAAAACAAATGCCCTTATAAATAAAGTTTACATGTGTAAGGAAGTGAAAGTCGAACTATGTTGGATGATTAATTTTAACAACAGATATTTCAAAAATCTAAGAGACAATAGTTTGTTTTCAAGACTGGAAGTTGAGAGTGAGAGAGAGAGATCTAGCAGTACTCGCAAATCACCATGCACATGCATACAGGATGAGGAGATGAATAATTGTGATTTGTGTCGTCAGTCGAAACAGAAATTAAACGCCGGCAAGCAAAGAAGTTGCAGGGTGTCATGTCACAGGATGATGGCTGTAGCTGAAAAGCTAATTATTACATGATCGATCGATCATATAGGTACAGCTTGCTAGCACCATCTCTCCTGCGACAAGATACACTCAACCCCTGTTATATCTTGTAGTATTGCTTTAGTTTGTCCTCCACCATGCCATGCCTTACAAACTACACTTATTTATAGATTAAAAAGAGACTGCCTCTCTCTCTAATTTCATCACTTTTCTAAGGCACCAGTACTATGAAGAAGTTACCAATGCCTGTCGCTCTAATTTCATCACTTTTATTGAATTTTCTAAGGCATCAGTACTACAAAGAAGTTACCAATTTTTGGCGGGATATTAGACTTCCACGCTTGAAGAAAAGTATCAGAAGATTCTTTTCAGTCTTCATGTTCACCAAGTTCGACGAAGTTGAATATTACGTGTAAAGTTGATTTCGCGCTCATTTGACATGACATTTATCAGATACTCGCCGACTAATTAACTAAGTCTTTTTTTACCCCATTCCAAATAACAATATCGGAGTAAAAGATATCTTGAACGTGCCATAAAAATTGTATCATTAAATTTCTTTTGGTATTACTTCATAATTTATTCTTATACAATTTTTATTTTTTTATTAAAATCCTCTATTATTTTTTATCTTAATTGAAACTCTTTATTTTTATAAATTTATTAATTGAGACACTCGTTAGCTTGTGAATCCGATATGACGTTTTAAAAATAATGATAGCCAATCGAGAAATTGACATGTGAAAATATGCATCTCAATTATCAACTAATAATTCTGAAACTAAAAACTTATAAATTTTTTTAAAATATATATATATATATATATATATATATATATATATATATATATATATATATATACTAACACATATTTAGTTTATTATAATGAAAATAAAATGATAAAAATACCCCTTAGCATATTATACCACCCAACTCTTCTCTTCTTCTTCTTCTTCTCTTTTTTTTTTTTTTTCAAAATCCATAAATTTCAACCCTTCTCTTCTTTTCCATTGTTTGGCAATCTCAATTGCCTCAATTCTCATTTTTCTTTGTTTCAAAATCCCTAAATTCCTAAATCTCCTAATCTTCACATCCCTAAACAACCATAAATCTTATTAACCAAATTCTGTTGTTGAATCCTTAAATCTCAAAATCTTGAATTCTCAATTTTGGAGATAAATTTTTAGCTACGGCCCCATTACCCCATTAGCTTGGTAATATTCCAACAATAAATCGTGCCATAATCATGATCGAATAATAAGATCCTTTAATAGCACGGACATGATTCTTTCCTACTACAATATGAGAATAAGTTGTGTTTCTATGAACCGAAGGAACAAGATCCGGACTTGAATAAAGCTGAACTTTAACGAATACTTTTGAATTATTATCTAAGATTGCACAAAGAAATCCTTCACCACCGGATAGAGTCATTGTGCGGCCAATGTTATTAAAAAGCAAGTGTTGATGCTTGGTGATGATGATGATGGCAAAGTGTTATTATTTATCCAACAAATAACATTTTGCTTTGCAACTCATGTCGATGGCGATTAAGATCATAGATCCGAGACTAGATGTAAAAATACAAGAGAGAAGGAGGAGAGAGAGGATAATTAATACCGTAATTGCAAGGTTTAAAAGATGTGGAGCGATGGATATGGAGCTACGGGAATTTCATGGACTAGAGTTATGACTAGAAACTGCTTGCATATTAGGGTTTTAGTCTGTCGTTGGAGTTAGAGTCGTTATTTTGTTGATGATGATGTTGTAATGTTGTAAGTTTAATTTCAAGAATAATTCGAGCATATGTTCGTTTTTTCGGTTGCTTTAAGATTAAATGAATTGGGTTAATAAGGTCTTTTTCCTTTTTTATATTTAACTAATTTGTTAATTTATAAAAATATTTAAAATTTTTTTGCATTTTGGTTTTGATTTATACTTGAAATGATTAAGACCCACATTGTCACATGTCGTTGTCCGATTGGCTACCATTAGTTTTAACTTATCACGTAAGATGAAAAGTTAATAGTTTTGTAACGAAGGTCTCGATCAATAAATTATAAGAGTAGAGAGTTTCAAGTAAAGCTGAAAAATAATAAAGCATCTCAATAAAAAAAAAAAAAACTTTACAATGGCCAATTACGAGGTAAACCCTTATTTTAAGTGTTGTAGTATTAGTTCAAAAGATCTATAAACAACGATCAAGGTAGAATTAATTTAAGATAACTAGAGAGCACTCCTATGATGAATATATATAAAAGAAAATAATAATTTATTATAGAATATTAAGTATTTTCTTAAGAAGTATTTTTTTATGAATATCGTGAGGTGCAATGTCAAGGTCGGGTTCATTGAATCGCTCTTTTGAGTGAATAGGAAATTCAAAGAAAGGAGTCATCATCTAACATCGGGAAAACTAGGAAATTAAAAAATGATCGATTTATGCAACTATATAGGAAATAGATTGATTACATATAACACATTCAGCCTAAGACTTAAAGTAGGCCAAGAATACTATCAACAATGTCTCACCTTTGAAGTGCAATAAATTCATGACATTAAGCCTCATGTCCTCTTCGTCGTGTATAAAATAAAATATGCAATGAAAATTCTTTTAATTTAAAATTAGGTCCATCTTTTATCTTGACACATTAGAAATCATTCAATTAATTCTCAAAACCAATTCATTTAATATAAATAGAAATCATTTTATTTTTTTCATCAAAACACATTTATTCAAAACATATTCAAATATTTTAAAACAAATTTTGGTTAAACATATTAAATTACACTGATCAATTTTCATTAAATATAAATATTAATTTCAGATAACTATATTAATTGTTAAATAATCATTTTAAACTTTATTAAATAGAAAACCATTTCATAAAATTCTAATTTTCCTCAAAATACAAAATCATTTTGTAAATCTCCAATATAATGAAAAACTACTAGGTTAAAGTCCAATTAAAAACCTTGACTTAAGCTCATTGGAAGCTAAGTTTTGAATTAAACTCCTTGAAAGCCCATTTAGGTTTCATAGGTGATAAATCTTTTAGCCATTAAAACCAATTAAACCATTTCAAAATTTAATAATTGAAACCATTTAATTAAAATTTTATATGTATTAAACCATTTCATTATCTTAAACCATGAAGCAAGTTTATAAACTACCAAATACACATATTTATTAGCATTCTAAAGCTTTCCAACAAATACCATAATTTTACAACCAAAATATATGGGCCTAGAAAACACAAAAGTATCCAAAAATAAGCAAAATAAGAAAATTTTATGCTTTCAACTTTAAACCCGCATCTAAAGTACATGTTTTGGAAAATTGGACTTCACACAATAATGACTTTAACTTCAAAACATGCCATCATTCATTATTCGGCTCACCTACATTACAAGATAAAATAGTGAGCTAATACTAAGTAAGTGTAATCCAAGCATGAAATGCAACTATAACTCATTTTCATGCTTTTGGAATTTATTTTTCTCTTTCGAGCTCACCCTGTCGAATGTGTATTTATTTGGTCCTTTTTGAAAACCATACTTGAAAATGTAAAAGCACTAGATACATTGCATGCTTTTCCTCACAAGAGGTTGATTATTCCCCTTGCCCATCCTCTTGAATATGTATAGACATCATTTTGAAAACCATGTCATTCCTTTCTTTTTTTGAAAACATGACAACACCTTTCCATTTCATGATATGAAAATGTGAATAAATGCATTTTTCAAACATTAACATGAACATATTAAGCATTATCATGGATACCTTAAGCAATTCCATGAACATATTTAACAATTGCATGAATATAAATCAAATAACATGAAACTTAGCATTTAGCCGAAACACATCACAAGCCATAAACCAATTAACATGAATTCCTCACCTAAACTGAAACTTAAACGATGAATTTATAAGTAATCAATGATCATTAGAAATCATAATCAAGTGACACTAGTATTACCCAAAACCGAAACCACCATTAGGGATACCCAATATTCAATCATTTGATTAACAAAATTCCAAGGTTAAACCACCCAATAATCATATGAACACGTATCCATATCACCTCATAAACAATTAATCACCAACTAACACATGAGAATATATCATTTTACCATAAATTGAACTTAGTTGAAACTTATCAATCAACATGACAAATAATTAATCCTCAAATAAACATCTAAACATCTTAATTCCATAAAATTCATATATTGTGATTAAAATACGATAAAATTATCCTCACTAATCATTAAATAAGAACATCATCAACTTTTATCATAAACATCAAGCAAAACCCCAATTTAAATTTTATTGAACACCTAAACATATCAATCCTAAAACACTTAAAATCAATCATCAATAAAAAAAATAATAATTCATTCTTATGGTGTAGTTGAGACTACATTTACCTTGGTTTTAGTTAGCCAACTCAAATTTTCTTCTCATGGCTCAACAACTAAGATTTTTTTTTTTTTCCTTTCTTTCTTTTGGCCAACTCAAATTTTCTAGTGTGTTTAGTTTTCTCTCTTTGTAAATTTTATGTTTGTAAGGCTAGATTAGTACTTGGATGGTTTAGGACTTTTTTCCCTTATTCTTCTTCTCTTGATTGAATGGAGTAGATCGATTAAGCAAGAAATTGTCATATGAAAGGAAGCTTGGATGGTGAGTTTTAATTACTTAGTTAGGTAAACTTTCTAGAATTCTCTTGATTTACCATGTAATTTCCTTAAGCTAGCATTTGTTACATCATCATTCATTTTTTTATTGGTATGTGAATTCATACATGAATAACATAAGCTAGCCGAATTATTAGGTTCTCTTAGTTGGTCAAAATTTTATTTTAGTCATTTAACTTTATTACTTAATCCAATTAAGTCCTTATTACTTAATCTAATTAAGTCTCTAAACTTTTGATTGTTACTTTTAAGTCCTTATAACATTCACACACTTATAACATTTAATCATTTAGAACTACAAAATAAAAACTTATTAATTCAATCACAATGCATAATTTTAATTCATGCGTAAAACATAATTTCCATGCAAACCCAAAGCATAATTTTCACATAATTAAATAAGCCAATCACACACATACAAATGCCTAAGAAGGTTTAAAACCATGTGTGTTACATCCTTTCCTATTTAAAAAAATTCCATCCTCGAAATTTACTTACCAAAATAACTTCGAATATTTAGACCTCATTTTAGCCTCATCCTCCCACGTTACCTCCTCCATATTTGATTTCTACATAAGACATTCACTAGAGGAATTTTTTTTTTGTTCCTTAATTTTCAAACTTCTTAGTCTAATAATTGGATTGGTCCTTCTTCATAACTCAAATCCGATTTGAGTTCTAATGGCTCAATGCTCAAAATGTGACTTAGGTTCTTGACATATTTTTGTAACATGGATACGTGAAAGATATTATACGTTACCGTAAGAGATGGAGGTAAAATCAGTCTATATGCTCTATCTTTCACTCTCTCTAATATTTCAAACGATCCAATGTATCTTAGACTTAGCTTCTTTTTTTTCTCCTCATTACTCCTTTCATAACCTTAAATTGTAAATTCTTTTTGCTTGTATCAAGCATAACTATTCTATCTATTTTGGACCATCTTCATTCTCATTCTAATCTATTTGACCACCTTGATAGTTTGTTGAACTATTTCAAGTCTTGACAATTTTTGTTCACCAACATCCTCCCAATGTACTAATGATCAACATTTTCTTCCATACAATGCTTCATAAGGTGGCATGCCAATACTCGCTCGATAACTATTATTGTAAACAAATTCGCCAAGGGTAGGTATCTCAATTATAGTTATGGTGTTTACCAACTAGGGCTAGGAGTTTTATAAATAGATCCATTTATTCCTCTTTCTATATATTTGGTACCTCTAAAATTTCCTTGTTACCAAAACTCTACATTGCTCTACTCCATCCAAAAAACTAACGTAAACGTTATTAGTATTAATTCTTTTCACTTTTTAGTTTTATCATAATACATGTATTTTTTCCCTATCTAATTCATTCACGATCACACTCCATGTTTGTTAGCCTAGCCATGGAAGGCATAAGGATGCGGAATGAAAACGTATCAAACATTGAGCACTTACTCCAACCATCGATAGACAATGTCGAGGTTTTCAAATATCTATATTAGTTTTCAAAATAATAAAAAATAAAATAAAATAAAACATCTTTTATATATATGTACATACTTAATTTATTTTGATTAAAAAATATTCCTAGAAACACACTCGACTCATCAATTGTTATTTAATAGAGGGTTTGTTACATAATTGAGAATTCAATAGTCCATATCGTCAAAAGTTTTGGATCGTGGTATTCGGCATTGTCCGCTCTATCATCGCTCGACAAGGAAATTCACAAACATCTTCTCATGCACATTCATGGCATACTCAATAAGGATCCTATCCCATAATAAAAACCTCTAACGTTATAAATTATCTTTTCCCTTTAAAAAATAAAATTCCTAATCATCTTTTGTTTGATGCACATATAGAAATACATTACATCTTCTCTTTTTCTTTTTTCTTTTTTAACTAGACATACCATCATTTGCATTGTTCAAGATCATACGTTTGAGGCTAGGCATTTATTCATCGAACATACAACCGCATCATGTTTTAGATATGCATGCAAGCAATTGGTATTGGAATGGGTATGATGATAAAAACCTAATCCCAAAACAATTGCTAGATATCATCAATCAACTCAATATTTTTTGAATTTGATGTAACATTTTCTATAACACATAATCGAGCCACCACTTCATTGCAACTCATGCCTTTGATGTCACCAACATGGTAGCAGAAATACACTTTCAGCCTCATCCATGTGCCCGAATCAATATACACACCATGGAAACCAATAATAGCCGAATGCAAAAGCCATTGTAGATATATCCATGTTTATGCATCTTTTTATGAAATTACAAATATTTCTTTTTCTCATTGTTTACTTATTGCAAAATACCACAAATAAACATAGAAAAAAATATTACACAAGATTCACAAAAAAATAAATAAATAACAACTAAACCCATATAAATAAAGAACAATTTCGTTTAACAAATAGATTTATTTAACATGAATCGTCAAAAATCAAATTTTTACCCACATTATACTATACGAATCATTTACCATATATACGTAATGCTAGTCTAATTATCAAAGAGTTTATAATCCAAGTAATAATGGTATCTTATAACAAGAGATCTTTGTTAGAAATCTTAAATAGGTGAGTTAATATATATATATATATATATAACCCAACTGTAGGGTAACGTGGATCAGAAAGCAAAAGTGCAGCTGTACAAGGACCCCACCCGACATTATAATTCTTTTTGGAATTGATTTTGGTCACTTTAATTGTATTCCCGTTAAGATATTAACAAGTGTACTATACATTGAGAAGAAAAGTCAGGGGCTATCACAAATTTTACTTGCGAACAAGGCATAACAACAGTAAAAATAGGTCTTTTTTATTCATAATGACATTGAATAGTAAACTCATCAGATTTTTTAGTTTTTTTTGCTAATTACTAATGATTTTGATTTTCAAAGTCTTATTAGTGCAACAGTAAAGATCCCAGCCTAATTTCATAACCTTTATTGAATTTTCTACGGCACCGATACTGCAAAGAAGTTACCAATTTTTTGGCGGGTCTTAGGCTTCCACGCTTGGAAGAAAAGTATAAGAAAATTCTTTGCAGTCTCCCCGTTCTCACAGTTAAACAAAGTTGAATATTTCGTGTAAAGTTAATTTCATGCGCGTTTACCATGGCATTTATCATATTCTCGCGAGTGCTTAAACTATTTTTTTAATTTTTGTTGCCCTCCGTCTCGTCCCATGTGCACTGGATAGAAATAATAACCTATTCAGGCAAAACGTACTATTTGCATATTGTATCTTGTGATTTCGTCAATTCATTCTTTTTTTTTTAAATAATTCTATTTTCACATCCGTCAATCATACTCATGTATTTTTAATTTTAGCTAATGGAATTTAATTTATCAAATGCAAAAAATACTATTCAATGAAAATATTCATAGTATGATTGAGTGATGATATCACAAGGAATGAAATGAAAATTGATGATAAAAACTCAAATAATAAATAAAAAATATTTAATTGATTGTGACAAAATTTCAATTTACATAAATCATACTCAATTAATTGAGAAAAAAAAAAAGCTTCTTTGACCAAATTGGTACCAGAAGCGCTCTTTTGACCAATTGTTAGAAAGATATAGTGCAAATAATGACTATATATATATATATATATATATATATATATATATATATATATATAATAATAATAATAATAATAATAATAATAATTAAGCATAGAATAATAAGTAATTTTTAAGGAGGAATTTGTTTGTTTTTTTTTAATGAAATATTTCTTAAATTTAAACGGTGCATTTAAAAATTAGTTTCAAAAAGGTAAATTCTCAAAATTTGGGTGTGCCGATGTGCCATAGACCCAAGGCCTTACCATCCATGTGTTTCTTATTCTGATTGGAAGTAATAATTAACTCAGTAGTATTGGCAATAAACATATAGTTTTACTAACATTCATGTATTTAAAAGAACCACTAAATTCTAGCTTGTCAATAATAAAGAAGGAACCAGCATTTTAAGAGACTAGCACTTACCCAAAAGTCATTGGTTTTATCACACGTGCTACAACGACAATTACTATGGGAAGCAAGGCTGCAAGGTGTCGATCTAAACCGGAACCACAAGCAAGTTCAAGATCTTACCGAATGTGAAAGAGGAAGGAGAGAAACAATCAATACGAATTCAAACATGAATTGACCTTAAGCAAGTTCCAAATACATGCCAGATGGCCGGGGCTTGAAAGATTAAATTTGGCAGCGGAAACAGCCACGTTAGTCGCTGTTGACTGATCCTCTTTTTTGTTTTACATATAGCTGGTCCTCTTTTATATAAAATGTATTACAAATACTGCACTTTAATTTCTAATTTTTAGATTTTACAGTAATTTACATAATTGATTCTTAATTTTTTTTAATTATAGTAGCATAATGGATTCTTATAATTTTTTCATTATATATATATTACACTTTTCTTATTAAAAGTGTGTTTAAAATAATTTTTCTCAATTTTTTACAAAAAATAATTTACAAAATAGTTAATTAATAATTGAAAATAAAATATAGAAAAAAATGATTATTATGCGTGTGAGGCTTGTGCGGATGGATCGACCATGTATTGCTTATAAATAAATAATTATTTAAGAAAAGAAGAAGAAGAAGAATTCACTTGTTTTATTTGATTCTTCTATATATAATCAAAGTTTATCAAAATTTAATTTTTTTTTAATAATTTTTATTTCAATCTATAAATTTTAAATTTATTAAATTATCCGACGAGTGTTGTTATCTACTCCACTAGTTCCTTCATCGCCTTACTCGTAGATCATCCAATAAATAATCTTACAATGTTGTTATCTACTCTTTCGAAATTTATTAAATTCTTTGTAGCACATCATGTCAATACATAAAAAGTACGTTTTAAAATAGCTTTGAGAAAAATTTAATCTTAATTGATGCATAATTTAACTCATAAATTGTTGCAGAACACAATTAAATTTATTTACAATGACAATGAAGATTTATGTCAAAACAAAAACAATTGATGATATGATACTCGGATTTACTTTCTATATTTTGTATGCATATTTATTTTGCTAAGTATGTGTATGTCATGTTTGTGTTATTATTCATGATTACTTGTTTGCAAAATTAATATTTGCTACATGTTATGCGTGAATAATGAATTAATTGACAAATGAATGATTTAGAAAATATAATTTAATTAAGTATTCCTATACATGTATAACTTATGATATAAAATTTAATTAGTGTTCTAAACAACAATTAATTTAGAAAATAATATTCTAGTTAGGTGTTACACCAAAATTAAAATGTCTAAGTGTAAAATAACTACCTTAGAACATGTAGCTCATTAAGGGTATTTTGGATAAAAATTTCAGCCAAGAGAGGGAAATCAAAGGAGGAAAATTTGCTTAGGTTTTAATTTGAGTTTTCATTTGCCCCCATCAATTCTTGAGAGCTAAAACACCTAAGAGAGAAAGAGAGCAAGAGAGAAAACAAGAAACGACCCAAAATCGTCAAGGAAAAGAGCCAACACTTACCAAAAGGAAAAGAGTTTAGCCAAGAAGGAGAGAGTTGGCCAAGAGGAAGAAAGAGGAAGAGAAGGTCTGTTTTGGCCGAAAGTTCGAGCAAGGAAGAGAGAGGAGATTTCAAGGGTTTTCAAATGATTTTCACTTCTATAAAACATAAGGCAAGTGTAAATTCAACTCACCACAAGACTTATGATAATTATGTGTTGAATTGGTGAATTGTGTTCTTGTAAAACCTAGGGTTTCAAATTATGTCATTGAATGAATTTTGTGAAATTGATGCTTGGTTTGTGAAATTAACGAATGGTTGACTAATGTGAGGTTATGACATGTATTTAATTGTTTATTGATTATGTTATATGTCATGCTTATGTAAATATAAAAATTCTAGAGTTTATTTAATTATTAAATGAGGACTTTTATATTATGATGTGATTGGATAAGTAACTAATTGGTGAATGGCCACTCGTAACAATTATAGGTGTGAGTTTAATTGTAGATTCAGCGTGGGTAATGCGATGTTTATGAAAAAATTTTGAAATTCTTAGTTTGGGCTATGTGACTAAGTGTTGGTTAAACTTAATTGATAAGCATTCATGACTATGATGATCGGTATGTGTAAATTGAGTTCGGATTAATTATGTTGGGTGAATTTGGATGGATTTGGCTTTGGTTTGTTGATTTGGTGATGGTTTTGTTGCTTATTGTAATTCAACCATTCCTTGTGAATGAAGGGTTGAGTTTTATTCATGGTTACTTGATTTGGCTAAGATAAGCTATTTGGATGATGGTGAGGATGAATGATTATGCTAAATGATATTTTGCTTGAGATTACTTGATTTTAGATGGCTTGGCTTGTTGAAAAGACTTGGCTAGGGTTAGGATATATGGTTTTTCAAGCATGTGTATATGATTGTTTGGTTTAATGGATGATTTTAAATTAGATAGCTAGTTAGTACCATTTGACCATGGGTTTTGGTGTTTATTAGATAATTGATGATTTTGACTTTGGTGTGTGCTTGATGTTATTCGGCTATCTTTAACTAATTAAAAGATATTGTATCTTTAGTTAAATGGAATACTTGAGGAATGTAGTTGTGATTTGGTTTACATTAATTGTTTGAATGGCTTGAGGAAATTTGGTAGTCTTAGCTTTGGCTTATGCTTGTTGGACTTGTTGTTTAGATTATGGATTTTATTTATTATAATTGAATGTGTTATTGTTGTTTGGTTGATTCAGCTTGTTTG